ATTCGTCCTGACCTTCAAATGTACGGTTGAAATCGATTTCTCTCGGTGTACATTCATATGTAAAAATTCCTTCTAGTCAGACTCAATTCCAGAACCCCTAGCCCTGCGGTTAGTCGTACGCCTTTGTTCGGGACTTCCGTTGGCCTCCGTGCGCATTAGACACGCATCATTTGCGCGTTTGTAATCAGGCGAAAGTGTTTCGACTTTCGACTCAGCACCACGCCCCCTTTCTCCCTGCTCCCGCCTTTGTCTCAATTGTTCGCCTACACACAGGAAAGCACAACAATGCGTACGTTCCTAGTTTAAAGTAAAAGTTTTTCAATTTCAAGTTTTATGGGCGACAAGCTCGCAGCGTCCGCTCATCTTGAGCCTTGGGTGTTCACACCCTCCTCCCCCTTACCCACTCCCCAGATATTTCCGAAGAGAAAGGGAATGGGCTGGGAATTTGCCTTATTTCGTTTATTTCCCTGGCCGTACGTGCTCACAATTTCTGATGCAGCGAGAGGACTTTGGGCAACCTCCTGCCGAAAACCACCATTAAAGCCACGTGTAAAAGGTAAGCAACAAGTCGGCCTGGCCAACAGTTTTGGGTTCCGCTCAGCTGGCCAGGACTCGGTCCCTGATTTCAGTTGGCCATCGTTTAATTTTACGCTTCAGGTGCTGGCCAAAATCGCAGCAGACAATTAAATTCCATTCGAGAGCTTTTGCTGCAACAAATTCGCGCCTCGTTCGGTGGTCATTCTCTTTGTTTCCACCTCTTTTAGCAGTTATTGCTGAACTCTACTTGCTATTAGCCCTTTTGTCCCTCTTGGCACAGTGTCCCGACTCGGTAAAAATTCTTATGGAAATTTCTGCAAACTTTGAAGCTGCAACAAATTCGCATTATTTCCATTTTGCCAAGTGGTCTTTTTGCTCTTATCATTAAGAGTTATTTCAGGTGCAACTTTTATTTTGCTAAAAATGTTTGTCTTATTTTTAAGTCTTGAACACTTAAGTTAGCCATAGCCGAAGTAGGCAGGATTTTAGAATATTCTCATAATAAATATGCAAGTTTCGATTTCATATGAGGAACAAATAAGAGAAAGGAACTATGCAGCACTGCCAGCATTGTTCTGCTCTCGGCATAAGTTTCCTCCTCCGTTTTCCGAACTTTTGCCGTCTTTTCTAGGAAGCAGAAATGCCGAAGCGAAGGATTTTATGAAAATAGCTGAAATAATTTTCCATTAAATTCTTGCGCATGAAATTATCGCATTAAAACGAAACAAAAGCCGCTTTTTTCGCACTCGAGTGGAACCCCTTGCCACACCCCCTTCCCCTTCCCCCTTCCTAGTTACACTACGTCCATTGTTTGCTTAAATTTTGTACAGTTCCTCGGCGTCATCATCATGATGTCCTCTCTCTCTTCCTCGGGAGAACTCTTCTGCTATTTGCCTGGTTTTTTACTGTTTGCATTCATCTTCATTATTTGTTTGCTCTGGCCCAAGTGGGCGTGGCAGTTGCCAGTTCTCAGAGAGAAAGGCGACGGGAAGAAAGTTGCCTTCACCGTTGAGCACTTGGCAGCGAAAGTTTTTGACACAGTTGATTTGCATTTGAAATCCTTGCTGGGAATCGCTCCTCCACTCCTTCCACTCCTGCAACGGCCAACAATCCCAACTCAACTCCGCCGAGAGGGCCGCCCAGCAATGATTTATGGATTTTCATCATATTCTGTTGATTCAGGGAATATTTATGATTCGCCAGGACTCCATTCTCTCCTCTCCTCATCGCCTCGCAGACGGGCGTCCTTGGGAAATCTGCTCGGTTCTCGCATGGAATTCATATTTTTGGGTTCCGTTTTTGTTATACATTTTTTGAAAAAAAATTTGTACTTGCTGCGGCAATAGGACAACAAGGATAACAAATGAAAACAAAAATAAAAACAATAACAAAAAAAAACAGAAACAAACCCAGAAACAGACACAGAAAGCGAAAGAGAAACAAAAGGACTACGGAAAAATGCTGAATATGCGCAAATTGAATTTGATTTTTAAGCACTGATTGCTTTTATTGTCCTGGTCGCCGGGTCCGGTGCGGAGGATCCGGGCTGGCCATGGCGGAATTTAAATAAAATATTCTAAAAAGATAACCGAAGCGAGCCAGAAAGCGAACTGGCAGCGGAGATGACCAGTAGCGGATCTCGGATTAGGGACTTCAACTCTTCGAGTAAGTCAAGCTGACGATAGAAGTTAACTAACTTTCTAATGTAATATTCCAGTTCAAAGTTAAATAGATTTTTTAAACATTCTAATACCAACATTATCGATGGCTAACTAGAACTTCCTGGCACTTCCAGGGTAGCAACAGCAAAATGGGATGACAATAAAGGGCCCTGACAGGACATCTATATTAATTTATTGATATTAAGCTTTTGTGCTGTGTGAATTTGCATTTTTTGCGGCGGAAGCTGGGCATAGTTTTTTGCCCGCGAAAGGATATGAAATTGAAATAACCGAATCGCAGCAACAATTAGCCGAGCATTTGGGGCTCAAATTGATTTCGTGCTGGGCGCGAAAAGTTGCTGCCCCATGTTGCCCAGACGAAATTGCATTTTCATCGCGCCCCCGCAGAAAACACATTAGCACCGGAATGTGCGCAAATAAATACTTAATAACCCGCACCGAGACCCCTGCACAAATGCAAGTCAGGCCCGGGCACATTAGCATGAGAATAAAACGAAATTACAGTCTTTAAAATAAATGTATGCGGAATTTGCAGGCCGAATGCCAGAAAGTATTCAACTAAATGCGAAATAAATTTGCCAGAAGACAAAGCCACGGGTGGGTGGGTTTTTCCGGGTGGTTTTTCCAGGCGGGTGCGGTGGGAATGTCAATTCCCTGGGCGTTCGAAATGTGCCGCCGCCGCCAGGAGACGCAGAAAATCAATTTCGGCTACAAGTTTTCAATAAAGTGAAAATAATGTCGACAGCCAAGGCGCTCTGCCATTATCCTGCGGAGATAAGAGTGGGTGGTCCTGGTGTCTTGGTCCCGTTCCCGGTCCCGGTCCCGGTCCGGGTCCCTCTTCCCGATGTCGGAGATATGGCGGAGCAGAGCGCCTGCGAAAATCAACGCCGAGTGTCAAACAATGAGGGTCGTTAGAGGCAGCAAATCGAAGCCAGCGAAGGAGACTCCGAAGTCAAGTGCACAAAGCGTCAAATGAAAAGGAAACTAGGGGAATGGGGTCCTGGAGATTGGAGAACGGAGGACGGAGGACGGGCGGGTGGCTGGGGACCTGGGATAAGTCTAGTGATGCGTAAAGCAACGCACTGTCAAAAAATACACCCGGCGAGGAAAGTATCAGCAAATCCGACTCCGTCTCCGATGGCTGCTGGTGTTTATTTATGTGCGTTGCGCCCTGTGATAAATCACTGACATTGATGCCCGCAGACGGAGGAGGAGGAAGGGTTGCCCCATCTTTAACCCATTCGGGCCCACACCTAGATCCCTGCTTCGGGTTTATCCAATTGTAGGTATATATTTACGAATTTAGCTGACTTTAAAATGGTTTCCATTTAAGAAAGTTAGAAAAGCTGCTGACGAAAATATTTAAAGAGTTTACTAACTACCTAAAGTAAAACGCAATCCAAGTATCATCAAAAACTGGCTTGCTGCTTTACAAAGCCCAACTGGCATTAGTAAACAAATCATCTGTGTCAAAATGGGTTAACCACCAACTTACTTCGAGTTCCATCAGCCCCACAGGCCGAACTTTAAAGCCTAGCCAGTGAAACCTCCTGAGGTTGCCATCCCCGACCAAAATCTGCCTTTAAAGGGTGTGTAATAAGTTTATCAGAAGTCGAACAGGCAGCGGCAGGCGGGCAGGCAGTAGCTGGCATGAGGACTAGAAGTGTCCTTGTGGTCCTCGATGGCGCCGCCCCGCAGGAAATAAAGCGGCGCTCAATCACGGCGCACGCCGGAAATCGGAAGTTAGCAGGCTCACGATATCGGAGCACAACAGCAACACACAAAAAAAACAAAAATATATAGGGAAAACTCAAGTGAAAACCCGAAACTGAGACGCAAACTCTGCCGCAAAAGTTGGAAACTGTTTGGCAGCGCCAGATAAAATGTTGTTGATTGCGACGCAGTTGAGCGTTAATAATTATTATTTTTGTGCCTCGGAAAGTACCTTTTTAGCCTGCAACTGGAACGTGATTTTTGATAGCCAACAATTTGTGGCAGATTTATTTGTGCATTAACCTCGAATTTGCACCGCGTCCATTCCGACTTCTCCGATTCCTGGCCATCCCCGTGGCACGTTGCCGCAGTGATTATCGATAGATGGTTTGTGTGGGTGTCAATAAATCCAGGACGGAATTCCAAGAACGGGAGCAGCTGTTTGTTCCGAAGTTTGTGTGCCAGCCAACTTATTGATGCTGGTCATGTACTCTCCGGCTTGGGGCAATCTAGGGGGCAGGGACCAACAGCTGTGGCAGCATTGATTTTTCGGCTGGGTCGCACTTTTATGGCTTTTCATTTATGAAATTTTTGACAGCCACTTTCCCCGGGAGTCGCATGTGCCCCAAAAAGTATTCCTAATTATGAGATTCAGCCGAGGGGGCTTTCCATTAAGGCGGTCTCCGAAGAACTCCCTGCAAATCGATGGCAATAATGGAACCCCGAACCCAAAAGCTGGTATAAGCCCAAATTGGCCTTTCTGCGTACTCGCGTCTAATTCCATTTTCGAAATGGAAACCCTCGTCAGGTTATAAGCATGCGTCTTCCTCTGTTAAAAATTATAAATAGCTGCGCAGCAAAAATAACTCAGGCGACGGGGACTTCCATTATGGCCGAGTTTTCTTTCGTTGTGTGTGCCAATTTATTGGAAAACTTGAGCTAAATTTAACAGGGAAACAGAAGAAAACTCAACCGAAGCGGACAAGTTTATAACAAGTTTGAAATTAATTTGATTTCTCGCAGAGCTCTGCTCGGACCGAACAACAAGATAGGGGCAGTGCAACTCACTTTGATTTATGCAGCCGGAGCCGCAACATCCCCAGCCAGGAATCGCCCCCCAGCCAGGGTTCCATTGACGGCATCTCTCCAGGATCCGGTGCGAAGGACCTCGACTAGAGCAGGACTTATCAGGGTTTCCTTATGAATAGCCGGACTTGTGGGCTCACTTAGTCTGAATATTGTATGTTTTCCAGGCTGTTGTTAAATGCACGCTGCAGACCTCGTCGCATTTTATGTGATTTTATTTCGGACACACAGCACATCAGTGTGTGTGTGACTTTTGTTTGCTCTGGCCAATCTATTCCAGTTTTATTTGCGTTATCCTTGGAGCAAGAGTGCCGCCTGCAATTGCAAAAATCAATAACAAGTTAGTCAAAGGATATCTTTAATTGTCCTGCCCAAAGAAAAGGTAATATATGTGCGCATGTCGGAAAAACTCTGCAATTTATAGCGATGACAGGCAGCGATTTTAGGCCAATTACAAACGCATGGACAGGATGCGGAGGTCCTGGTGTCATGGTGTCATGGCAAATAATTCCCATTCTGTTTTCCCTAATTAATTTCTGTTGTTGGGCCAGCGCGTGGCGGCTAAAACGTGATTATTTGATCTGCATTCGTCGATAATTACGGATTATTGAAAGTTTTGTTTGAATTAATATTGAAATAATTTCCTGAGTCGGGTCGGGTGGTATAAATAATTACCGAAAAAAGCGGCAAATACAAAATAATCAACATAAAAATAAATGGCCTCATTGGTTTCCATTTGCTACGTCCCCGACTGCGTCGGCGGTTTATCGTCCCATCTGTCCAGCAAATGGAGTATATGGATTGGATTGGATTGCATTGTATCGGAACCACCTATGTCCGCTAGAAATTAGGTTAATTAGTGGTCAGTTGTTGTGTAACTGCCGTGTCCTTTGATTGCTGTCGTTTTGTTATTATTTTCCCCCGTTTCCCCCTGTGGTTCGAGTTCGCGTTCGGGTAAATACATAGATAAGGTGGTTTTTGTAATGTCCCGGCTGATGTATAATAATAATATCCGAACCTGTGCAGTCAAAGTGCCCGAATCGGGATTCCCCATTGTGCCATCTTCCTCCTTGCAGTGCACAATTGCGGCATATCTTGCCCGTCCCATGTCCTTTGAATTGCCCCTTGTTTGTGTGTCTGGCAGTAATGAACTTTTATGCATTGTCATTAACTTTTATTGTATATATCTGCCATTCATCCCGGCACAAGCACACAGAGACAGACAAGTATATATGCCCACACACCTCTCCGTCGCACAAACTGTGTTGTTTTGCTGGCATTATAATAAATTTAAATCATTTGTTGCATTTATTTTAATTATGCGCAATTTAAAATGCATTATGGCTGCAACTTTAAAGGGCTTTAAAGTGGCAGGGCGCTTAGGGCAGGCGTAATTTAATTTCGTTGACAGAAATTCAATTATTTGCGTTTTCCCGAGCCTCCGTCGCCGCCGCGACGACTCTAACACACGAAAAATGGTTTGTCAAAATGCCTCACGCATGCAAAGGCCGGGCGCATGCTGCGAATACGTGCTTTCATTAAATTTTTATTTATATTTCCCCCGCTCATATTTCCATTTCCCATTGCTGCCCCTTCTCCCCAAGGCAAATATGTACGTCTGGCCGACGTCGACAAATTCTTCTGGTGTAATTTCATTACTTCAATGTTTTACTTTGCTGAATTATAAATGAGCCCTTCAGTTCTGTGTGACGCGGCGGCTCCCGTTTTATAGCTAGTCATGTGTACCCGCAGCCCAGATGTTCGGCGCTCTAAAATTCGAGGGGGTCACCCATCTGCCCCTCATCTGCTTTTCCCATGACTTTCAAAGGGGCGTTGGTGTCAGAGCTCGCCCAGTTTTCTCGGGGACAAACGGTTCGAATGAGCCGCTGACCCTCCTCTTTGCCGTTTCATTAATATTTGATAATGTGGTGCTGTCAGTTAGCCGTCCAATTGAGTGATTTCCATGGCTCTGGCCCTGGCTCCCTGCCCTACCCACCTGCCCACCTGGCAGCTATTCTATTATCGTTTTAGGTTCGCTTTCCTCTTGTAATTTTTCACGTTTCACGGAACCAGCTGCACTTGTTCCCACATTGCAACTGGCCCCAAACTGAAGTGCCAGCCATTGAAACACGACCCTCGGAGCTGGAGTACTCTGACCCTCTGACGATTCGTCTGGCCCCGTGACAGCTTGACATCTGTTATTGTTTGGTGCTGGTTGACATTTGGACAAAACGCTAGAGCGCTGTGCCAGCGCAGCACCATTGAAATTGAATATTATTAGCTCATTTCACCATAATTGCTCTGCGAGACCCTGGCTGTGAGAACGGCTCCAAATTACACATATCACACATACGCCGCGTACCTTAATCCGACGGTTGATCTATTCTCGAGGGCGGTGCCAGCACTCGACTCCCTATCTGCCCCATCGGAGTCATTAGATCCACTTAAGGGCCGCAACGCATAGAGTAAAACTATACTGTACTATAGTTCTTAGAAATTAGTAATGGAAATCGAAACAATTATATTAACTTGAGTTTCCTCACTTTCGTTTTCCTTGAGAAGGTAAGTGGTTTCTGAGATTTCTGCACATTGTATTAGTTTCACCTTAGTGCCCTGTCTGTGAATTAATATCAAGCCTATCAGGGAAAGGGTAGGTCTTATCTCACGTCTCAGAAATCGAGAATCTGATATCTGGAATAGAGGGCGGGCTAACGACGCGTATGCGCAATCTGGGGTCGGCTGCCAGCAGCTGCACACTGATTAGACAAAGTTGGGCCAGCAAATTAAGGGGCAGCACAAAGACAATCACAGAGTGCAAACTGCAGAGTGCAGCTGCTGGCCAAGGAGACTGCCACAATGGCCAGGAGTCGTCGGCAAAGTTTTGAGCGGCAAACAAAGAAGGAAAAGGGCAGCGGCAAGGCTCCAAGGACTTCAGTTTTGCGGCGCCTGGGCAAACTTTGCGACAAACAGCAACAAATGCTGGTAACCGCTTGCTCTTAACACTTTCTGCCTTTCCTGCTCTCTGCGAGCAGTTTTAATATATTTTTAATAACTCATGGTGGGTAAGGTCGTCGGGGCAGCGTCCAATTTAATTAGAAAGTTGGACTTTCGCCGCGTCAATGCGCCAGATGGATTCTCAATTTGAATTTCCCATTTCGAACTCTTCAAGGGGCTAAGATTTCTGCCTCTTACTGCACTGAAATGATGAGTTCGAAGCTAGAACAAAACATATGTTTTATAAAGTAGAGTGGATGTTGATTTCCGTCCGCAGGAAACCTTTTAAAATGCTTGAAAAATGAATGCTTTCTGGCCCATGAAGATCTAATTGCTGTAAAGCTTAAAGAAATCTTTGAATGAATGAATCTCGCATACTACTTAATGATAGATAAATTTAGCATCGATCCACTGTCTTTCCAGCCATAAACGATTGAAATTTCTGGTATGTCAGAGAATCTAGAGTCTCTTTGCCTTAATAACAAAAATGTTAGACTTCCAGCTTTGATGACCTTAAAGGAGTGCCCATTTGTGTCGAATGAAAGTATTTTGATTTGGATCTAGTTCTCAGAGAGCTTCTGTGTTTGCCTTTCTCGTTCGATTGCATTTCTGTGTTGTGGGTTGGAATTTGGCATTTTTGTTTGTTCGCTCCCAACCAAAAAAGTTTGCCAAAATAACATTTATCAATGTCGTCTGCGCCCCTGCCGCCCCTGCTGGATCTGGGATTTGTCTCTAGCTACGAATTGAAGTGCATCAAATAAGTTGGGTGCATGTGCATGTGAGTTGGAAATTTGTTTGCCCAATGTATGCTAAAAGTGTCTGCGGGGAAAATTGGGGAAACTCTCTTCGACAGACACACACACGCGCTGGGTAAGTATTTTATCAATAATTCAAAGTTGCCTCGAAAAACTTTCCAGGAATTTTCCGTCGCATTTAGACGGAGATGCTCAGGGAGTGCATCCCAGGAAATCCGAAAAATTAGCCGCTCTCGAACTGGAGCAGCGATTTTCCTGAGCTCTCCAATTTTCCGGCTTGATTAGCGCTCGGCCTGGAAACTTTCGCCAACATTTTACACGGCTTGTTGTGCACCACCAGAGTATCTGTGTGTGTGTGTGTGTTCACTATGTCCCGGAGTCTGTGTCGCGGCAATTTGTTCGCTGTCACTTTGCACGCGGTTGCGACATAAATTTCGCTTTTGCCGACCCAATTTTCGGAGGCGGCATCGGCTGCTGCACAACCGAGAGAAGCGTTGTCAAAACTTTGCAGTTGGCTTTTATTTACATGGCGGGCTCTGGGTGTGGGTTTTAGTTCTGGTCTGGGTTTGGGGTAACTAACCAAAAAACAAAAAAATGAAAACAAAAATAGACCATAAATAAAAACCACAAGCAGCACCAGAAGCAAGAGCAGCGGCAGTGGCAGCAGCAGCAGCGGCGGCGGCAACACACAGAAAATAATGGAAAAAGTTAGTTTTGCATAACGCGCAGACCCCGAGCACACTTGAAAGTCGGGCGATGCGGGTGCCTGATGGTCAGGGAAGGGCTTTAGAGTGGGCGGCTGGGCGTGTGTGAACGGGAAGTTGGGCAAGAACAACAGCTGCTGAGAACCATGCCCCCTCAGTCCACCGGCAAGGCTGCACAGAAAGAAATTAAGCCAAAGGACCATCACAGACTCCTGGGTACCAAAGCTCCTAAAGAATTAACTAACTAAAATGGAAGATTGGTTTTCTAAGGACAAATACGATTATTCCCCAATAAATATGTTTACGAAATGATTCTGTATATAAAGGTAAATATCAAAAACCTTTTCCCTCTTTAAGTCATTTTCCCTACCAGCATGCCTTTCCCTCAGTGCACAAGTAAAAAGGACTAACGAAGGACGAGGGCGAGAGTATAACCACATACACACAGTTGTACTTTTGAAACTGCCAAGGTTAGGGGAAGGCAGGAGGTAAGAGTAGAAGAGCCCGAGCAGGAGTTTGCATATTTACTGCAGCTCCAGACAAAGTTGCACTTTTACTAGCAGCCAAGCAACTTCGAATGAGCTGACGATGCCACCGAACTCCCCAGTACTCGTACAGTCAGCTAACACCATAAACCGGTCCAAAATCGAAAGTTCCATTGAACTTACCGCCTCCGTATTTACCAATCTCAGCCGTATTTTCGTGCGCAAATTGAAACCAGAGTCGGAAGCGATGGCAAAGCCCCAGCAAATGTTGCACTTAAATTCGAAATTATTCTACTAATTGAGCCACATTAGCTGCTTGAGCTGATTCAGGAGGGGAAACTCGAGCCAGCCCAATGAAAGCGTTTCAATTCTGTA